AGATGTATTGATATTGGGCAGTCATGTAAACAAGCTAAAAGTCAATTGAAACAGATGTAAGAAAAGCTGGTTCTAGAAAGCAGGGATTAATTGTGAACAGTATTAGCACAAAAAGGGACATTCTTTAGTTTGTAAACATCCTGTCCTGGGAAAGATAAGTATGGTAGGCATCAACTGCGAAATTAATTCTAATTTGGGGTTTTTCACATGCAAAGTATTAAAAGCAGATGAAAAGCTAGGAGATTGAGACACTGCATTTTGAGTAACTCATATATAAGGAAACAACAAAAATACAGAAAGGCAGAATCTACAAAGGCAACTTAGAAGAGAATATCTTCAATTCTATTCACAGGGTCATTTCCTAGATTAGTATATATCTCACTTTTAATATCACATTAGAGAAATCAGTAAGTCACTGTGAAAATATTTTACAAAATGATCTCCAGTGAATCAGATATTCCACTGATTTTAAGCTAACAATACAGACAATTTTTAAGTGATTTTTTTTTTTTTAATGTTGAGACTGGGCCCAAGAGAGCAACTGCATGAAGCCCAACGCCAACCTCTCTTTAAAAGAGCCCCGGAGTCATCCCTTCCCTGCCAGCGCCTACCATGCGCCTTCTGCACTGCACCACACCATCTGGAAGGCATTGGAGTGGAAGCCCAGAGTTGCACTGGGAATTTCCGACAGGAATTCCCAGAACTAGTTTCCCCATCACAGTCCTCCCCTTCTTTCAGCACCCCTCAACCACTGAGTCTCAAGACCTGGGCCATATGGAGCAAAACAGAACCAAACTGAAGAGATTCCCAGGATCAGCAGGGATTGGGTGAGGGGTGGAGGAGGGAGAGTACTGGAAAAGACAACTGGAATTGGGGGGCATCTCTGGTAAGAGCTGATGTAATGGGAACTCCCAGGAATCCACATGCTAAGACTCTAGCTAAAACTCCTAGTATTGGGAGATACAGAGCCCGAACCAGCCACCTCCAATAACCAGGAAAGACTTCCCAGTGGAGGGATTGGGACCTAAACCCAGGCGCAAAACCATCAACCTATAATTTGTCCTTCCTACAAGATGTGCTGGGGTAAAGGTGGCATAAAAATTGTGAGAGTAGCCAGCCAATGACTGGTCAAGCTTGAGATTCATGCCATGGGAGGGAAGCCACCCCTGACACTGCCTGCAGGACCAGACCCTACCAGGGAAAGGAAAAGTCAGTGGAATGATTCCTAATGATATTCTGCTATCCTCCCCAGGAGCCTAGAATAATTGCCAGAGAGGCTTCATCTAGCAACTAATAGAAACCAACGTAGAGACTCACAGCCAAACATTAGGTGGAGCTCAGTGAATACTGCAGAAGAGGGCAAAGAAGGATTTTAGGAGCCCAAGGGGTCAAGGACACCACAAGAAAAAACAAAGAATAAATGAACTTGGGCTCACAGGAACTCACAGAGACTGAACTGGCAACCAAGGAGCCTCCATTGGTCTGATCTACTCCCTCTGCATATATGTTATGGTTGTATAGCTTGATTTTCTTGTGGAACTCATAAAAGTGGGAGCAGGGGCTGTCTCTGACTCTTTTGCCTGCTTTTGAGAACTTTTTCCTCCTAGTAGGTTGGGTCATCAAGTCTTAATACAAGGTTAGAGGATGCCTAGTCTTAATGTAATTTCATATGCCATGTTTAGTTGATTCCCTTCCAAGGGAAGCCTGTCCTTTCCTGAAGGGAAAAGAAAAAGGAGTAGATGAGGGAGGGGGCTTAGAAAGGAGGGGAAACTGAGGTTAAGATGTATTATATGAGAGAATACAAAAACAAGTAATTTCCTAGGTCAGTCCTCTTATGATGTCTGCTAGGCAGAGGCAAGTGGATCTCCGTGAGTTCAAGATCAGCCTGGTGTACAAAGTGAGTTCCAGGACAGCCAGGGTTGTTACACAAATAAACCCTATCTCACCATGGGTCTGGGACTGCCAAGAGAGTAGGACAAAACCAGAGATCTGCAGGTCCCGGCACAAATCTGAAACCTCTGAGGGAGTAGGCCTGAGGCAGGACCTCTACCAGAGCAGGCCCAAGGCAGCAACCTCAGGAGAAAGAGACCCAAGCAAGCAATCTCCCTGGGAGCATCCCTGAACAACCCCTGGTATTGCAAAAAGATACTCAGCAGAATACAAGAGACAGAAGAAAGAATCTCAAGCGCTGAAGATACAATAGAGGAAATAGACTCATTGGTCAAAGAAAACATTAAATATATAACAAAAGCTTAACAAAAAATATCCAGGAAATATGGGACACCATGAAAAGACAAAACCTAAGAATAATAGGGATAGAAGAAGGAGAAGTTCAACTCAAAGACACAAAAATTCTATTTAACAAAATCATAGAATAAAACATTTCCAACCTAAAGAAAGATATGCCTATGAAGATACAAGAGGTTTACAGAACACCAAATAGACTGAATCAAAAAAAAAGTCCCCTCACCACATTATAATCAAAACACTAAACATACAAAATAAAGAAACAATATTAAGAGCTGCAAAGGAAATAGGCCAACTAAAATGTAAAGGCAGACTTATCAGAATTACACCTGACTTCTCAATGGCGACAATGAAAGCCAGAAGGTCCTGGTCAGTGTTATGCAGACATTAAGAGGGCACAGCTGCCAGCCCAGACAATTATACCCAGCAAAATTTTCAATCACCATATAAGGACAAAACAATATATTTCATGACAGAAACAGATTTGACCAATACCCAGCCACAAACCCAGCCCTACACAAAGCACTAGAAGGAAAGCTCCAGCCCAAGGAAGTTGGCTACATAAAAAAAAAAAAGCAGGGACCATAGATGATCTCACAGCAGCAAATCCCAAAGATTTGCACACAAAGAAAATGCACAAAATAACATCACCAAAACTAAATTAATAGAAGATAGCAATCACTGGTCATTAATATCCCTTAATATAAATGGACCCAACTCACCAATAAAGATACACAGGCTAACAGATTGGATACAAAATCAGAATCTATCCTTCTGCTGCATACAAGAAACACACCTCAACCTCAAAGATAGACAATACCTCAGAGTAAAGAGTTGGGAAAAAATTTTCCAATCAAATAGACCCAAGAAAAAAACTGATATAGCTATCCTAATATCTAACAAAATAGACTTCAAACTAAAATCAATCAAAAGAGACAAAGAAGGACATTTTATATTAGTCACAGGAAAAATCCATCAAGAAGAAATCTCAATACTGAACATCTATGCCCATAATACAAGGGCAACCTCATATGTAAAAGAAATGCTTCTGAAGCTTAAATTACACATTAAACCCCACACACTAATAGCAAGAGACTTCAACACTCCACTCTTACCACTGGACAGGTCTGTAAGATAGAAGATTAACAGAGAAATAAGGGAACAAACAGATGTTATGACTCAAATGGACTTAACAGACATCTATAGAATATTCCATCCAAACAGAAAAGAATATACCTTCTTCTCAGCACCTCATAGAACCTTCTCAAAAATTGACCACATACTAGACAACAAAACAAACCTCTACAGATACAAAAAAAAAATGGAAATATGCATTTATCTTATCAGATCACCATGGGTAAAAATTGGTATTCAACAGCAACACTACTTCCAGAAAGCTCACAAACACATGGAAATTAAACAATGCTCACCTGAATCATCAATGGGTCAAGGAAGAAATAAAGGAAGAAATTAAAGACTTCCTAAAATTCAATAAAAATCACCACACAACATACCCAGATTTATGGGACACATTGAAAGCAGTATTAAGCGCAATTGAAAATCGCTCTCATGATGAAACAGGAGAATCTTTAAAATCCTCCAAAACTATATAATCTTTAGAGAAAAAAAAAACAGTCAATGGCTCTTGAATATAACAAAGAAAAGACAAGGTAAACAGGCACCACCAACACAGGACAGGGTTCCTAAACCACTGTAGGCAGCAATGTCCTCTCTGAACAGACTCTATCAACACAGGAGGACAGGGTTCCTAAACCACTGTGGGCAGCGAAGTCCTCTCTGAACACATATCTAGGTTTGAATTTTCATTGCAATGTGAACCTTAACTTTTGGCCAATCCAAGCCATTACAACATCTTGTAGAAAAGTACTGAACTAAGTTATTCTTACTGCAATAACTATTCATTTGGCAAATTTCCATCAGAAATAAATGAAAACCAAGTATGAACTAGTAACAGTGGAGGTTACTATTCCTCATTATTTCGAGGTTCCCGCTCTTCCTGCATCCATGGTTAGACATGATAGACTCCCTTGCATGTAGTTAGGATCTTGTAATAAATTTGGGTCAATAGGCTGCAAACTCAAGGGACTTATTCACTTTTCTCTTATGCAATTAGTAAGAGTATAACCTGTGAACGCCTTCTTTAAAATGTTTTAAAATCTATTATCAACTAAAAGAAATGGAATCTTTGTTTTTAATGTTAAGTCATTGCTAGAATATATATATTCCCAAACTATGTTTTATGGTCTAATAAAATATTCAGCGAAAACACAATTTGGCGGTCAAATAAGTTTAGTTACCTGCATTATGATCTAGTCATGCTTAGGTTCTCAGAATTATTACAAAAACAATTCTGCTTAACCATTTAAAACAATTTGTCCAAAACTATTTGAGCAAACAACAAACATAGGAGTTAATGCCGCTCACTGCCTTCTGGTAGCTTTGCTTAGAGACACTCTAGACTATTCGACATTATTAGAGAAGTACATCTTTTCTGGGCAAATGTGGCTTATATATTAAGTGAGGGGACTGCCTATTTTTTCCATTAGCCTCTAAGTTATCCTCGTTTTCCTTTTAGATTTCCACAGAATAACTAACGGCAGAACTACTGAACTTTAGCCTAACAGTTTCCATCTCTGAGGGCACATCATTCCAAGGGAAGAATTTTAATTTGTACTCTTCAGTGTATTATGTATCACAGATGATATCTAGTCTGTACAGAACAGCTTACTTACGTCTGGGGCTCCTTTTCATTTTGTTGTTTTTGCTGGGGCTGAAGAACGTTATTTACCAGTTCAGTGATCCCACTAAAGGGAAACCACCTGTTTAAATAAGCAAATAATGTGACTGAAAAAAAACCAAAAGAATAACAATGTAGATTCAATGTTTTCTACCCAAAATAACTTTGAAAAGAAAACACACACACATAGGCACAAAAGCTACAGCCAATGGAAATGTTAGCTCCAATTATCACCAGGCAATCAGGAAGTAGGAAAATTAAGTTTGAACACTTAGCTAATCCACAAGCAGGCAGCAAAAAACTACATCCAGTGACTATGTGGATGAAGTAAGAAGCTGCAGGCAGCTCTCTTACAAGCAGAGAGTCGGAAAGCAGAGGACACACCAGCTGCAGCCTGTCCAGTATTAGTGGGCGCTAATACCATCAGAGGTGCAGGAAGCAGAGGACGGTAGAGGACAGAGTCCAGCCTACTGCACTCGTCACACATGTACTTACTGTGTCGCTTGTGGTTTGGGTTCTTCTTTGATCCTAAAAAAATAAGTTTGCACAACTCAGTGCACTGTACTGAGCAGCACTTGCTACCTAGATGTTTGTGGTCAGACATAATGGACATGAAAATTAGGCTTATTACACGGAAAAATGTAGTGCTACACCATAAACGAGAACTGGACATCCCAATCAGTGTTACACACAGAGGGGAGGAAAACAGACCTTGGCCCATCTGGTCTTGTTTTGCTCCTAGTGCTAGGGACCGAACGCAGGCCATCCACGTGGTAGCGGACACACTACTAAGCTACAGCCTCAGCCCAGGATAAACTGTTCTTCTACCAAAACTCTGTTGCTCTTTAAAGCAATGTTTTAATCACAATTTTTGCTGCATATTTTTACTTTTAGGTGCCATAGTAAATATGACTAAGTTAACTAAATATAATTTCTAGTTTAGTTTTTAGTTTTAAAAAAATAAATTGAAGGCTAAATATTCTAAATAAAATAGGGGATTTTATAAGTGAATTTTTAAAGCCCTAGTAATTAATTTATTTATGTCTAAAAAGAATAGAAAAGGAAATTGAATGGGGCAATATAACCAATATCTCACAAACTAACATTACTAATAAATATTCTATACTAAACTTAAAATATTCATACAAATGTCAATCCTTCATACAACTACAGTATAATGAAAATCAACTTAAACAGCTACCATGTACGTAACTATAACCAAACCAAGTGTATCACTTTCACTTCTGCAGAGGTCCGGTGAGGACCTGATCCAGAAGCAGTCAATTCCTAGTAGATCTGACGTGAGAAAACTAGACCCACTCCACAACAGAACCTCCCCCTCGTGTGGCGCCCTTAGTCAACCAGCCTTGGGATTAATATCATTCACTTCTTATTATGCTCCCTTATTAAAGTCAAATTATTCACTCCAGAGACCTTTTCATGATTTGCAGGAAATGAAGAGAAGATTGAATATGGCTGTAGGTATGAAAATGTAATAGGATTGAACATTGAAAAGACTTAGAAGGATCTTACATAGGGTAGTCAAGACTGGTAAAACTGGACTTTCCATGAATGGCTAAGAACTGTCTTGAGAAGTGCATCTAGCTTCTCAAAAGACAAAAAACTGGTAAATAAAGTTTATACAGACACCTGGGATTTTTCATTATAAAATTACATCAATTATGTAAGTTAAATCAAATTTGTTTTATGGTATGCGATGGCCCATCGTGTCAACGTAACTGAATTAAGCAGCACTGTGGACTGGTGGGGCACATCTCAGGAGGGCACTCCAGACGCTTTGTGAGAACTCAAAGACTGGTCTGAGTGTGGACAACACTGGTAGACAGGGCACCGGTGAACAAAGGAAGAGGAAGCCCACTAACGCAGGCCCTCTGTGCTGCCATGCACCACCAGGTGAGCAGCCTTCCCTGCTCCTGACAGCGGGGAGGGAGAGGATCAGCAGCAGAACCAGCTGACTTTAGTTTAAAGCTGTAGAAAGGGTCTGCGGGGAGCTCCAGAGCGTGGAGAGACTGTTAGAATGTCAGAAACTGAACCAGGGTCCCGTGTGTGCACAGACAGCTAGAGCTTAGCAGACTGTGGGAATGAAACAGAATTCGCAAGCTGAGGTTCTCATAGGTCCTCTGGCCACAAGCCCTGGGAAGGCAGCACACTGTACCACGGCCTTGGCAAGCTACAAGGAACTGTGGAAAGTGACTGCAGAAACTGTTACAGTCTTCTGAAGAGCACACCACGAGGAGATCACTCAGACACAAGGAAATACAGACAGGCAGGCCTCCATACTCCTCCCAGGGTCAGAGTAGAAAAGTCCCCAGTGTGCCCCCAAGCACCAGAGACAAGGCGGTAAGTGACCAATGAAAAGGAAGAGCTCATGCTGGGGAAATCTGGCTAAAGGTTGACCTCCTACACAGGAAGGAACTCTTCTAAGTGGGAAAGCTGAATTACTGACACAATCAGATTGACAAATGTCAACCCAAGGGAAAGGACCAGCCACACCATCCAAACTGGAAATCCTAAAGACCTTCTACTTCACTGTATTGTCTTTTATATTTTACACTTTGTACTTGAACTGGCAATTGTGTTTCAGCTTCTATCCCAGATGGAAGGCTCTTCCGGCTGTTCGTTCAGGCGCTCCACCTGCTCAGCAAGGCTTTCTCTGTCCCGCATATCCGTGACCCATACACTTCTCATTCGCCTTCACTCGCTCTGCTCTGATGCGAACTCTCTCAGCCCACTCCTTAAATGCTGATACCTGACCACTAAAGAACTGTGCACTCTACATCATCTTCAGGATAATGTGCTGGCTCGGAACTGACTGTGGATGAGTCAGAACAGAGGAGACAGATGTCTGCCACTCCAAGGTGGCACTGGAGCGACTGTTTGCTTTCCTAGACAACCCAGGATCACTGCCCAGAGTCTTCAATCATGAAAACATCCACACAGACTTGCCTACAGGCTAATGTGATGGAGGCAATTCTTCAGTGAGATTCCCTCTTTCCAAATGACTACAGCTTACTTGAAGTTGACAGACAAAAAAAAAAAAAAAAACCTAACCAGCATAGTTATTAATGGAGATAGAAATAAAAGACAAAAGACAGGTATCTCTAAAATTAATAGATGATGCAACTACTTCCCAAAACTCATATTTAATGAAGTATGATTGCATATTTTATCAAGAAAACTTATATGCAAAAGAGTTAAGATTGGGTAAGAGCATGCAAATCATCATGAAGGAAGAGTTTTCCTGTGACCAAGAGATGAAGTCAGCACCAATAGCAGGGACTCCTAAAACAGGTTCATGTTGACTAGGAAGACATCATAACTTTTCTGAAGGAAGATGGCTAAGTCCAGGCCAAATGTTAAAAAGATTTTATGATTTATAATGCTATCAACCTGGTTTTGTTATCAAAAACAAAATTTATGTCATCATTTGCAGGTGAAAACTAGCTTAGAGATATAGTATTTTTCATGGTTAACTACTCATTTAAAGGAGTTAACCATATCACGGGCGAAAACCAACTCATCAATACAATGCTTCAAATCATACAGAATTACAAATAAAACAGAAAAAATGGTAAACTCAAATTAAGGAAGATAGTTTTATGCATTTTGACATTTTTGTTAAACATATCCTGCGAACAATGAAATTATGTAGCCCTGGTTTTAAAACAGATTTCAAATTTTTCAGGAAAATATTTAAGTATATTTTCTATTCCCTCTTTATTTGACATAATTATGATACCTGCCAGTTTTCAAACAGGGCGAACAGAGCTTCATTCTGACGTTTGCCTTGAGAAGATGTGAGTCACATCTCTTTACTGGGCACTCACAGGCTCTAAGGCCCAGAAACAAAGACCCCCAGCCTCAGCCCCTGCTGTGCTCCCTAGTTACTCAGCCTCAGCCCCTGTGGTGCTCCCTAGTTACTCAGCCTCAGCCCTTGCTGTGCTCCCTAGTTACTCAGCCTCAGCCCCTGCTGTGCTCCCTAGTTACTCAGCCTCAGCCCTTGCTGTGCTCCCTAGTTACTCAGCCTCAGCCCCTGCTGTGCTCCCTGGCTTCTCAGCCTCAGGCCCTGCTGTGCTCCTTGGCTTCTCAGCCTTAACCCCTGCTGTGCTCCCTGGCAACACCTAGGCCGGAGAACCACTATTTGCACAAATGAAGCACATGAAGAGCAAAAGAAGAACTCAGATAGATGACTTTGATAGCACACTTTGAGAACTCACTGAGAAGTGCGGTTACATCCATCCGTCCAAAGAGTGGTGCATATACAATACCAAATATCACCCTAGCTTTATTGTCCTCATATCTTTAACTTCTAGTTAAAGAAAAAAAAAAAAAAAAAAAAAACTAGAAAAGCC